TCCGGGGCCTGAACCCAGGAGCTGCTCCGCACATGCTCACTGTATGGGTTACGAACGACCTCAGCAGTTCTGTGTGTGGTTCGTGCCCCTGGAAGTCTGGACCCCCCCGGGTAGGGACCTGTAACAGGAGCTCAACAAGGCTGGTTCGACCAGCAGGAGGAAGAGCGAGGGTGGGGCTGGCCATTGGGCCACCGTGAGGGCGGAAGGGCTGCCTGAGCCCTGCTGGAGCCCTCTGGGCCACCACGTGCCACTGTTCAGGCTGAGCTCTGCATGGCACCCGGAGGTGCCACTGCTCAGACGTTGATATCTATGGAACACTGCACCATGGTGGCTCTGGGACCAGGCGGGGAGTGAGGTTAAGTCGATGAGGGAGGAGAGGAGAGGAGAGGGGAGCCCAGGCCTCCAGGGCGGGCGTGTGGCCCTCCCGGCCTGTGCAGGGGCTGGGCGCGGTCAGCCAGGTGGGCAGGGCGGCCTGAATGCCGTACACTGCAGGAGGAGACGCCGTTGGCCCCGGCGCAGATCATCTTGCTGGTGACAGATGAGCCCCAGGACTTCTTGCAGTGGGTGCTGGACACGATGGGCAGGGCCGCCTGCTGCAGCCTGTCAGGAGTGTTGCTGTCTGCAGGAAGTAGGGGCTCAGCCAGGGTGTGCTGGGCTTGGGCAGCAGAACTCGGGACACTGGAGGAAGAAAATCAGCCAGAGGAAGCAGCGGGCAGGAGAGCTCCTGGGTCTCATCTGCAGGTCCCTGACCAGACCTGGGAATGTGACTCCCGGCCAAGAGTCCTGGCAAGCTTGACACAGCCACGCGGCTCAAGTCTGGAGAGAAGTTCAGGTTGGAAAGCTGGTGCTGCCCCTCACTGCAGGCCAGGGGGGCCGTGCTGGCTTGTAGTCAGAGTTCCTTCCGGAACCTCCTGTCCGAGGACATCATTGTCAGCCCTTATTTTTATAGTGTCTTGTAGATTTTTAAGGCAGGGGACTTCAAATGAAGAAATGGAAAGATTTAAGACTGTGTTGAAATTTAGACCGAAAGATAAAGCCATATGGGTCACGTCCTGTACCTCTGGGGTTGGTCAAGCCCCAGCATGTGGTGACACACAGCTTTCCAGTAGGCGCCGGGCAGGCACACGGAGGTACTTCTTTGGAGAAGCGGGTGGACGTGGACAGCTTCAGCAGGGTGATGTCACTGTTGATGGTAAGACTGTTGTAATGGGGTTCTTGAAAACCTGTGAGTGAGACAAGGTGTTTCACGAGACAAAGTCCTGTCCTGCTGGCCCATTCAGGGTAAATAGACCCACAGGAGCCCAGAATGAGAATTCTGAGACCAACATTACTCGACTCTTGTCCCTCAAACAGCCGAGCAGATGTCTCCCACCTGTCCCCCTCATTCTCCCACCTCTCATCCATCGTCTCAGCCTCCTGGATCTTCTGCAATCTTCAGGACCTGGATGTCCTCCTCCTCAGAGTTCTGGTCAAACTCTCTAGCTACAACCCTGTCAAACCTCCTAGACAAAGTATTTAGGGCTTGAGGGCTAGGCATGTCCCCTGCTCCCCTCCCCCTGCCAGACTAGAGCTGGGGACAGAGCCCACAGGTGCCCGGCACTCACGTGACCCCGCAGTGGGCAGCGGTGACCACCCAGCGTTCACTGATGAGGGAGCCCCCGCAGAAGTGGAAGCCGGTCTTGTCCTGGGGAGGAAGATGGGAGGGTCAGCAGCTCCCACGTGGGTAGCACCCCCAGCCTGGCCAACACCCCAGCGTGCCTCCCAGGTGCCCAGAATCCCCCTCTCACCTGCAGGGACACCTGCCAGGGCCAGGAGCCAGGGACAGCTTCCTCCCCATTGACGACCCTGGACAGGCCACTCAGCACAGGGTGGATGGTGGGGACCCCACAGCCTGGGGGATGGGAGTGGGCTGAGGAAGGACGGAGGCCCAGAGCCTATGTGGGCCTTACCTGTTGGTGTTGCAGAGCTCCCAGTTTCTTCCTCAGTCTGCCCAGGCCAACCTAGGACCCAACTGTGCCATCTCCTCTGGAGACTCCCCTGACCCCCCAACCTCTAGGCTCAAGGGTCCTCCAAACACAGCCTTTTGGCTGCAATCATCCTTCCGGGGCTGCGAAGTGACGTGGCTGCCCCCACCCAGGGCGCATCCTGCCTGAAGGAGCAGAAAGCTAGCCGGGCCATCACAATGCCTGGGCCCAACCTGGAGGCCGATCCTTCCCGGCTCTGTGGCCTGAGACCAGTGGCGGCAGCGCTCCGATCCTGCGTCCTCAGTTGTCCAGTGGGGAGCAGAGCTTGGGGGCAGGCGGTGTGGAATTAAAATCTAACTCCGCGTTAGTGCAGAATCCGGAGCTCGGACACCTTGCTGATGGGAAGTTCCACACTGCTGTGCTCACAGTGAATTTCCTATTTCTATGATTCTTTACCATTTCAGGAACTATTCACTGTGTAAAGTTCTGGTTGCTTAGTTATTTAATAAAATGGGACTTGACTCCACACCATAAAAGGTGGAGAGGGAGCAGAAAACAGAACAGTGAGAAAAGGCAGGTGTGCTCATGTGTAGATCCTTATCCGGGATGAATTCTCAGCACCTGGGTATGGGCGTGGCAATGTGGTTTCACATTTGAGCAGGTACAGACCCCACAACCAGCCACGCCACTTCCAGGGCCCTTGTCACGGCTACAGATCCAGCATCTGCCTCTCCTGTCACTGGAGCAGGAGATGGGGAAGCCATTCACCGAGGATTGGCGTCACCAACAGAAGTCATAATAATAATTTATTTTTTGTAATAGAAAAAAAACTAGGAGAAAAATAGTGTATTCACACAACAGGGAATAAATTATAGCGATTCAAGTGAATGAGCTGGATCTCCATATCAACATGGATAAATCTAGAACATTACGGGAGCAGGAAAAGCCAACAGACACAGAGTAGGACAGTTTATGTAAATTTCAAATAAATAAATAATTATATACATTGTTCATGGATTTATAAATATGTAATGCCTTTGTATAAACCTGCATAGACGCGATGTGTGCAAACTCAGAATAAGGATTACATTCCAGGCAGGGGAAGGGAGAGAACGGGAGCCTCACCTGAATTTCCTATGTTTTAAGAAGAGATTTGCTAACTTCTGATGGTAGATACAAGGATGTCATATTTTTCCTATATTTTTTACTATTTCTTTTCTTTTTTTTAATTGAAAGCAAAATGGTTAGCAAGTGCCCAGCATAATAAATAAAAACCTCAGAGGATGCATTGGGGATCTTGGGCAGCCACCCCTTACCCTGTCCACAGCACCCCCACCTGAGCCACTTCTAACACCTCATACCACAGCAGCACCTAGAATTGTCTTTCCACCACTGGAGCACATGCAAAGGCTTAGAAAGCCCCAGAAGGACCCTCTGCTCCCAGTAGCCTCAGATGGCTGTGCTGGGGTGAGGCCCAAGCGGGCAGAGAAGGGAGTTCAGATCTCCCTCTTGGCCAGGCCCCACTGCTACCACCTCAGGACAGAGCTCCTCTCATGTGACCTGCCTGTGGGGGCCACTGAGGGCTCCAGGACCTCTTCCCCAGGCTCCTCCCAGGCCTGGCTGCCCACCCAGGCCCCAGCACTCACCAAAGGTGTCCCCCATGAGGGCAAAGCAGGAAAGGAGCCAAAGAAAGGCCATGGTGCTGCGTCAGGGAGGTGTGGGGCCTGCCTGCCATGGGTTATTTTTTACATCCCCTGGGAGCCCCCAAACCCTGAACAGCCCTTCTGTCCCTCCCCAGCCGGGGAGACCTGAGAGCCACCTTCTTGTTATCTGGGACCTGTGGTGATAAGTGTGGGCCATGCCCCTCTCACAGCCAGCCTGTCAGCCTGGGACACCCCAGCCCCTGGGAAAAGGGCAACTGCCCTGTCCCAATACCACCCGTAAGCCTTGGCAACACCCAGCATCCCTGGGGCACTGAGGGCAAGGCGGGGGCCCAAGCCCTGCAGAGCCCAGCAGGTGCAGCCTTTGCCAGGAGGCAGGGGCAGGGGACTCTGCCACTCCCAGTGCAACTGAGAGGCTTTCCAGCTCCTAATTAAGAGCAATACCACCACAGGGTCCAGAGAAGCCCAGCTGGTTGTTGCAGGGAGGTGCTCAGAATTTCCCACGGTGCTGGGTCCCCAGGACCACAGCGCAGGCTGCAGGCTCTCAGCAAAGGGTGTGTCACCTGAAAGGAAAGGTACCACCACAGGGTCCAGAGAAGCCCAGCTGGTTGTTGCAGGGAGGTGCTCAGAATTTCCCATGGTGCTGGGTCCCCAGGACCACAACGCAGGCTGCAGGCTCTCAGCAAAGGGTGTGTCACCTGAAAGGAAAGACTGCACCATATTCCGGATCATCCAGGGGCCACCTCATCATCAGCCCAGCCACACGGTTTCTGGGCGTGGTGAGGGAGTGTGGGTGAGAAGGGACCCCCCCCACTGTGGCCAGTATTGCCCAGCAGGAGGGCGACCCCCTGACAGGCCATCCCAACTCCTGCCTGCCACCGTGCTAAATGGAATTCCCTTTCTGTAATGATTCACAATTCAAGGAATTAGTCATTGTATAAAGTTTTAGTCTCTTATAAAATAAGTGTTTGGAGGGGCCGGCCCAGTGGCGCACTGGATAGTGCGCCGCTTGGGAGGCGCGGCGGCGCTCCCGCCCGAGGGTTCGGATCCCACATACGGACCGGTTCCCGCTCACCAGCTGAGCGAGGCGCGGGAGCAACGCGGTCCCCGGTCCGGTACGGGGGCAACACTGAGGGTTGCGATCCGTTGCCGGACACGGAAAAAGACAAAAAAAAAAAATAAGTGTTTGGAGAGTTCTGGTCAAGATGGTGGAATAGACGGTCCCCAGCGTCACTGTCTCTCACAAATCAACCAAATTTACGACTATAAAAATGTAACATCAGCCAAGCTGGGGCCGCTGGAACTCAAGGGAAGAGGAGGAGAGACACGGAGTTCATGAAGGGGGAGAAACCATGATGAGAGAAAGAAAAAACTGCTCTGAACATTTCGGGCCGCGGCCGCTTTAATGCTGGAGCTGCTGAGCGCATGGAGCAGGAGCCGGGAGAAGCCACAGCTGTGCCCTTCAGATGGAGTTATTTGGAGGCAGCAGGAGAAAAGAGGGCCTTGGTGGCCCCCAGGACAGCAAGACCACTAATAGGGTTCCTGTGGACCCACACAGGAGTGAGGAGCCCGAACAGCTGAAAAAAGGGAGCCATTCAGAGACCGGTGAGTCATTGCAAGGGACTGGCGCAGGGCACATCACATGGGAAGTGTTTGCAGCATGGGTGGTGGAGGAGATGTGCCCACCAGGGGAACACTGGGACACAGAAAGGACTGCTGATCTGACCCCCAATCAGCACAGGACCACTCAGAGGAGACTGGTCAGGAATGCAGAATTGCATGGGGTGCAGTTTGCTGAAAGACTCAGGCCCAGACCAGAGTTTCTACACAACCCAGGTGCACCGAGTATCTGGAGAGCCAGAAGTACCAGTAAGGTCAACCATTAAACCCTGAGCTGCACAAAATGCCTTCCCTAGGGAAACAGCAGCAAAGTAGCAATTTAAACAACCACACAGCTCAGTACTGGTTCCCAGAGGAAGTTCCCCAGTGTTAGAAGCAAAGGACAAAAAATTAGTTCTGGCCCAGGCACACCACCAGCACCTTGGGGCCTGCCAGGGAACCAGAGGCTTGGATCCACGGACCGGACCCCACTCCCACTTCCAGGCACACCACGCCAGCACCTTAGGGGCCGCCCGAGGACCTGAGGCATGGAGAAGGAGACTGGACCTCTCTCCCACAACAAAGCACACCATGCCAGTGCCTTGGGTTCCACCCAGTGACCTGAGGTATGGAGCTGGGGATCGGACCCTCCTCCCACAACCAGGCACACCACACCCACACCTCAGGGCCCACCCAGGGACCCGGGGCATGGAGAAGGGACCAGAATTCCCTCCCACAACCAGGCACACCACCAGCACCAAGGAGCATGCCCAAAACAGCACCTCCATGTTGGTGGCCCACCACAGCCACCACAATAACCATGGCTGCTGCAAAAGCAGCTAGATGCCACAACCACCGCGCAGATGGTCCGCCAGCCACTGGAGTGCATTCACACAAAGAAGAGTCATCAGCAGAGACAAAGAAAAGAAGAGGATGTCTCTCTCCACAAAGCCAATGTCAGAGTGATAGAAGAAGCGTCTGCTCTATGATAATATTGGGGGGCCTGATCACATCTCTCAGCACTGGACATGATAAAGTTGCAACAAATCAACAGAGTAACCATTACTCTTTCAGAAGGAGAGAAGAAATCTAGGGTAATTAGAGGGGGAGGGAGATGGGGATAGGGAGAGATTGGACAAGGGGCATAAAGAATAATTACGATTTGTAACAATATCTATGCTAGTAATATTGATTTGATCAACATATCTCAATGTTCAAACCCAAAAATATGTATAATCGATTTTGATTCAATAAATAAAATAAATTTTAAAAGATAAAATAAAATAAGTGTTTGATTCCACACCACAAAATTACACAGAAGACAGTCTTCATTGTCACAGGACAATGAGAAAGACAAGTGTGTCCCCTCCAGGGCCAGGACAGTGTCATTTAGAACTTTTGTTTGTCTTTAATTTCTAAATTTTGTTTTGTTTAGAGTTGTGTGTTCTCCAGCAGGGGGGATATTAAAATGCTTAGCCCCAGGCCGGCCTGGTGGCGCACTGCTACAGTGCGCCGCTTGGGAGCGTGGCGGCGCTCCCGC